TATATGTGTATATTCTTACAGCCATGCAGAAGTGTATTTGCATTAATGTTTTCATCCATTTGGTTTATGTCTATCTCTGGTCATTTATCTTTTAATATATATATATGGAAAAGCATATATATATAGTGCAGGAGAAACACTACCTTTACAAATGGAACTAATAAAACTACCTGGATGAAAAAACAAACTCATTGAGGTCAGGTTGACTCTGACTCACAGCAGCCACAGAGAACTGCCCCTGTCAGGTTCCAATACTAACTCTTTACTGCAAGCGCCCTATCTTTCTCCTGAGGAGCAGCTGGTGGTTTTGAATTGCTGACCATGCAGTTAGTAGCCCAACATTTAACCACTGTGCCACCAGGGCTCCTATTATTTGTTTGTAAAGGTAAAAATACAAGAAAGCATAAAGAAGCAGAGAGATGTCCCTGCCAAGCAGGAATGTTTAGTGTGGAAAGAACACTGTTATTGAAATTAAGTAATCGGGTGGCAGTAAGTTGCTTTTGACTTTATCACATCCCATAAATGAGTAAATACAGCCACCTACTACTCTATGCCTCCTTTTAAATTATGTTCAGCTGTTTTTTCCCTTTCAAGTTTGTTAGAATGGGTGAACTCAGTACACAGCAGTTCCAAAGCCAAAAACAACAAAAAATTCTGTCACTGACCAGTTAGTTCCAAGCAAACCCATTGCCATTGAATTGATTCCAACATAATGACTTTATAGGACACATTAGAACTGCCCTACAGGATTTCTATAGCTTTACTTTTATCTTTGTCCCATGAAGAGGCTGATGGGCTTGAACTTCAGACCTTTCAATTAGCACCCCTAGCTGAACATTCCAACCAGTTATCACCAGTGTTTGCTATGTTAAAAAAACAAAAACAACAAAAAGCAGTGTTGTTTTATTCCAGATGTGCAAGCCCTAAATACAATTTTACAAGTCTTGTCATTAACAATTCATTAACAGTTCATATTCTTGAAATCAAAATTAACTTCCCATCAAAATGAATCATCTATTCCTTATTTCTGCATTGAAGATAGTCATTTCATCTCTGCTTCCTCAGAGAGGATTCACTCAAGTCTCTTTCACTTAGAACTTGTTTTATAGATTTGTGTTCTTGCTAGTGCTACTACCTTCCATAAGGATGAAGACTCCTTTAACTTGCAAGGTTAAGTGTTTGATCCATGGTGGGGAAACAAGAACAGTGCTCTCCTATGTATGTGAAGTCCATCTACTTTACAAGCTTTGTTTCCAGCCCTCACCTCTCCAAACGAAGGGTGGCTTTGGCCTTGGTATTCTCCACTTCCTTATGGAGTCTGTGTCAAGCCGGGCACTACGGAATTTCTCATCTCTATCTGTGCAATACGTAACGGAAATTCCTTAGTGTTTGTTGCCTATACGGAACTAAAAATGATATAGATTTCTTCCTTTAACAGGTAATTTTCATCGTAATAGACTTTAATAGGCAGGCATAAGGGGAATAATTATATGTGTATATTCTTACAGCCATGCAGAAGTGTATTTGCATTAATGTTTTCATCCATTTGGTTTATGTCTATCTCTGGTCATTTATCTTTTAAATTTAGTGCAAAGGACAATGTCTGGCTTAACATTTATATTTTTACCACACGGAAGTTAGTTTACTTAGCAACCTGAGTTGTTGGGAAATTAACATTCTTTATTCATAAAGTGAGGAAAGGAAGGATTTACTTTCAGCTGTAGGTTGCAAGTATCTCCCTCCTTTCAGACAGCAAAACAGACGTTAAGGGCCCGCCCCTTAGAAGCTAATGAGAGGCGGGGCCAGACGGGACCTACAAGCCTCAGAAGGCCCGCGCCTCCACAGCCCCAACAGGACGTCTTTCATTTTTTAGGGATTGGGCCCAACCCGCGGAAATTCTGATACAATACACAGCAGAAACTTCCAGAGGAAAACCTTCTTCTCTTTCAGCATCCGCATCTCCTGGCCCAGACACAACACACGTCTCCGCTCTAACACAAGAGCACACACGCCTTCCTAGACAGCGAGCTTCCACTAGCCGCCCCACCATGGGGCGTGGCCTAAGGCGGGGCGTGGCCTAAGTGGGGCGGGACCGACGATGCTCAAGGACCCAAGCTGAGACCTGACTGCCCAAGATGTGCCGGTTGCCCGTGTTAATATATTCCACCTTCTCCCTTAATCGCAAGAAGCTCGCCGCCGCAACCCCCGAGACTTTCATTGACAGAATTTTCTTTCCGGTATTTCTGTTGCTTTGATGGCTTCATTGGAGGGAAAAGATGGAAGCAGGAAGTCAGGCGTCTGCTAAGCGGCAGCAGAGGAACTAGCCCGTGGAGGCGGGGTCCTTTGCTCGCGCCTAAATTCAAAGGAATAAATAGTTCCGGCGCCGGCGCCGAGTCCCGCGGCAATGTTGTTTCCGCCGTGGTAGAGTTACCTGTTTGGTGCCGGAAGGCGGGCTCTTTGGGCCTGCGCTCCATCCTCGCTCCCTCGGGGTGCCCTCGGGCTTCCCAGACCAAGCGGTCTGAGGCAGCGACCGGGCAGGTGCGTGCGCGCGGCCGGTTGGGCCTGGTTCCAGGCGGAAAATGAGGGTGGCGGGGTGGGAGGTGAGTAGAAAGGGCTCTCGGATGGGAATGAAAGTTAAAGGGTGCCTGGCAGGAAAGCTTACTTCGGAGCCGCTGTCGAGTGGGGCGAGCTGTTCGCGAAAAGGCCAGGTGAGACGAGGTAACAGCTTGTGTAAAAGCCGGAGCGTGCAGAATGTATGGGATTCAGTCTCTTACGGATCCCTTCCATGAGCTCGTCGTCATTGGGGATTTAGTGGTGGATGTCTGCGGAGACCTTAGGGGAACTTGCTAAAAAGTGGGACAAGTAACGGTTCGTGTCAGCCAAAAGTGCTTAGAGGGAAAAAGGAAATGGTAGAGGATGCGTAGAAATGCAATTTCTCCCGGGAAAGGCTGGAAGAAGCTTGGAGCAAAGACGTGAAGGTGGTAAAAGAGTACGTGCCCGACCCATGTTTACGGTCGGTGGGAAGGGGCTTTATGGGCATCAGGAACGGGACCTGAAATAAGCAGTGGTCTAGTTCAGGGAATGGTAAAGGTCGAAGGGAACAGGGACAGTGCTCAACTTGGGATTTCAAGCTAACCTTGGAATTTAATTAACGTCGTGTTTTTAAATAGGGAAAGAAAGCTCTGTACATCAAAGAGAGTAGCTTGACAAATGATTTAGATTTCCTTTGGGGCTATACTTTGTATGTTCTAGTCTATTCATTGTGAGTCAAGTTTGTATATTTCACCTAAATTTTGTTCCCTTTTGTACAGAAGTGGTTGGTGGCCTATTTGATGCTAGCACAGGTTTACCGGGTCCAAGGCAGTAGTGAAAATGCATATTAAGTCAATCATTCTGGAGGGCTTCAAGTCCTATGCACAGAGGACTGAAGTCAATGGTTTTGACCCCCTCTTCAATGCTATCACTGGCTTAAATGGAAGTGGAAAATCCAACATATTGGACTCTATTTGCTTCTTACTGGGGATCTCCAACCTATCTCAGGTAAAGTATAAACTTACCTATTTAGGTGAATTTGAAGTTGGGCAAGGAAGTCTTACATATTTAGAAACTTGCAATTATTTTGTCTCTTTTGCTTTAAAGTATTGTGTTTTGCACTTTATGTAAATTATCTTATACCTAACTCCACCCTCATAGAGATATGCAGCCTTGGAAACCCACAGGGATGGTTTTACCCTGTCACTTTGGGACACTCGCTGAGTCAGAATCGACTCAATGGCAGTGAGTTTGAAGCCTTTACTATAGTAATATTATCACTTAATTTTCGTAGAAGAGAACTTAGAACCTAAGAAATTTGCTTAAGGTCCATCATCTTAAGGCATTCTGCAGCACCACCAAACTCGGGGTTCTTACTTTAAGCAGCAGTATTCGAGAGCATCACCAAACTCGGGGTTCTTACTTTAAGCAGCATCATTTGAGAGCATGTATTCCCCCTGCGCTGTAATACCTTTAGAGGCATTGCTAATAGGAGTTAGATGAATGGGATCCCTGGTGCACCTGTGCTCTAAACATTGGTGGGCTGCTAACTGCCAGATGAGCTTATCAAACCCACCAGCTGCTCTTCAGGAGAAAAATGTGGTTTTCTGAACCCATAAAGGTTTGCAGTCTCAAAAACGTGAGGAACATTTCTGTTCTGTCCTGTATCAGTTAGCTGTGAGTCCAAATCCACTCAATGGTAGTGGGCTTGATTCTGGTGCCATTAAAGTCCCAGTGGTGCAGTGGTTAAAGTGCTTAGCTGTTAACCAAAATGTTCGTGATTCCAATCTGTTGGAGAAAGTTTCCATATGATTTATAGCCTTGGAAAGTGTAAAGGACATTCCTATTGTATTCTGTGGAGCCCTGGTGGATTAGTGGTACATGTTGAGCTGCTAAAGGCAAGGTCAGCAGTTTGAAACCACCAGCTGTTCTTCGGGAGAAAGACAAAACTGTCTACTCCCATAAAGAGCTGCAGCCTCAGAAACTCACAGGGGCCATTCTACCCTGCCTTATAGGGTTACTATGAGTCAGAATCAACTCAATAGCACCGGGTGTGGTTTTTGGTTTGTTTCTTCCTTTAAATATTTCTAAATAAGAAAAGCCTAAAACTAAATTGAATTGATGTCTTAGAATTATGGTGTTGGTGAACAATATTGAATATAGACTGCCAGAAAAACAAATCCAACTATTAGGGGCGAAGTACAGTTTCTTAGAAGAATGCTCCTTAGAGGGGAGGAAGGCAGTACTTTGCTCATATACTTCAGACATGTTATTAGAAGGGACTGCTTAGAGCAGGCCATCATGCTTGGTAAAGTAGTGAGTCAGCAAAAAGGTGGATTAACACAGTGGATACAACCATGGGTTCAGGCATAGCAGTGAATACGAAGATGGCACAGGACCAGACAGGATTTCTCTGTTGTACCTGAGATCACTGGCTTAGAACCAGTGCAGTGGCACTTAACAGCAACAACAAACCTGCCTAACAGACTTTTGTTAAGAAATGGTAGAAAATCATCAGCTCAGGTTTGATGAGGTCCTCTACAGAAAGGTACCTAATATAGATCGCATGTTTTCCATGCCACTAGATGTAACATTTATCCTTGATACAATATAAATGGGTTCCTACTCGATGTCTTCTCTATTTTAGGTTCGGGCTTCTAATTTACAAGATTTAGTGTATAAGAATGGACAGGCTGGTATTACCAAAGCCTCAGTGTCAATCACTTTTGATAATTCAGACAAAAAGCAAAGTCCTTTGGGATTCGAAGTTCATGATGAAATCACAATAACAAGACAGGTAAGTACCTACTAACATACCTGTTTTAGCCATATGGCTTTACAATTTTATGAAGTTCTTGCAGTTGATGTTTAATTGCTTCCAGTTCTTTCACTTTCCTATTTAACTTTTTAAAAATGCATGATGCCTCAAATTGAGTGTACACTGCCAGAAATTGATGATGTACCAGCATTTGTCTTCTTACCACATGATTGAAATTTAATTTCTTTCACTGTAGGTGCTGCACTGCTGTTCATACTAAAATTAGAGAATTCATGGCACATTAAAAATGCACATCAAATTTCCTTAAAACCACTATTTTTTATAGCCATTATCACTAAGCCACGCTCCTACCACATTTATAGTTTGCTTTTTTTTTTTTTAATGCAGGGCTAAAAACTCAATTGCTATCAAGACAATTCTGACTCATAGCAACTTTATGTAAGATTTTCAAAGCTGTAATCTGTATGGGAGCAAATAGCCTTATCTTTCTCCTGCAGAACAGCTTATGGTATTGAACCCCTCACCCTGTGGTTAGCAGTCCAGTGCTTACCCAGCAGTGCCACCAATCTCCTTTTCTGGACCATATATTTATTGCTTTATTTTTTCCCTCATAATCACACCATGTTTTCCGTTTGCAAGGTTTTTTATTTTATTTTTTTTAATTCTGTTCTGGTTTACTTGCTGTTTTAGCATGATGCCACAGGTCTTTGTTTTGTTTTTGTTTTCTATTTTAATAAGATCACTAATTTAAAAACCAACAAAAAATGTTGAGTAGGTTGGGACAGGATTCTGTTGTCCTTAGGCTTCCATCACCCTTAAGAATTGCTACTCCATTTACTCCTAATTTACCTAATTATTTTTGTCCTCATTCTGTCCATATCTCTAGTATACTAGGTCTTTTGTCAAAAATCTGTGAACACATGAGCACCGGCCTAATAATCCAGTTAGATAAAGAATTGAAACTAAACTTTCCCCCATTATTTATTAAGGTTTTGAGAATTCTTGAGTGCCCCAGGATGTGCAGATTGAAAGAAAAATGAATGACATTTTGCACATAAGGACCTTAAAAATATTTTGGGTGAGGCTGGCATACGTAGCTGATGATATAAATACTAAACTAGAAGTATAAAGAAGCTGGGCTCTGGCCTGGGTTGTAGTTAATCCATGCTGAAGGTGGGGAATCAATTCAGAATTTTGACCAGGATTGCCATCAAAGCCACTTGTCTTTAGTTTTGGACCTCTTTTGCTTTTAAAAATCAAGGAGTATGGGGTGGGGGTTGAGGTGGGCGCAGAGGAGTTAGCTTTAAGCATGGGAAAAAATACAGAAAGCTCATTACCAGAGATAGAAAATGTGTTTCACACATACTTGAAAGCATAAAGCTTGAATTGACCCTAACTTAGTTCAATGTAGACACCATTGGGTACTTATAAATCATTACATATGTGTGTGTTGCAGAAGGCTGTGGATGACAGTGGAAGCCCCAGATGTGTTTGCAGATTAAGCCTCTGACCATAATTCAGAGACGTGAATAGCCTTGCTATCAAACATCATTGTAAAGTCAATAAGCAGACACCGTTAAAGTTAAAATGTAAAACTACCATTTGATCTTCCTTTTAATCCATTTTAAATTTGTTGAAGTTTTTAATATTTTATACTTGTTTTTCAATTGAGGTTTTTCTGCTTTGTCGTTATTAAGGTCTTTTATTTATTTTGTTTAGTATATTCTGTATATTAAATACTGGGCAGGTAAATCTATAGAGTCAGTAAACATTAGGGGAGGTTGGGAGGAAATAGGGACCTAACAACAGAAAATGTTCTAAAATTAATTAGGGGAGTGATTGTTCTACTCTTAATATGAATGAACTATTGAATTGTATGATATATGAATTAGATGCTAATAAAAACCATGCACACACCCCCAGCCATGGAAATTTGTCATCTTGGCCCAAGATGTATCACTTAAAATTTTTTTATTTTCCTTATAGGTGGTTATTGGTGGCAGAAATAAGTATTTAATCAATGGAGTAAATGCAAACAACACTCGAGTACAAGACCTCTTCTGTTCTGTTGGCCTTAATGTTAACAACCCTCACTTTCTTATTATGCAGGTATATTTTGATTGTGGTCTTTATAGAATCATTAGAATTGGAGAAGTTCTTTGTTGGATTGGCTTTTTTTTTTTTTTTTTTAATTTACCAATATACTGATGTTTGGGCCCCTGTTAATAAATGTGGTCTAATTACTTAAATTGATGGAATTTGGAGATACATCTAGAACTAACTTTTTTTTTTAACTTACCTTCATATAAGAACAGTTTATGCTCATAAATTTTAAATTCTTGTAAAATGTTGAATTAAAGAATCTTAATGTTTCAAGTTATATTAAAGTTTTTTTAGAGGTTTAATGAAAAGAGTAGACATCTCATTGTCTTATTATTTTACTAGACCCATCCAGCTACCTTAGAAAAATCATAACATAATCCATGGCAGGATGATGAGGTTCAAAAAAATATTTTCACTAAGTCAAAGGTTCAAAGCTGAAAAGAATACATCTAAATTCTACAAGCTGGCTGTACTCTCCTTTTGGTGAGGGGTGGGGGTGGGGCACAAGGATACTGAGTTAGTGAATGCTTTCTGGCATTGACGTTAAGCATTTTCTTTTCTTGTTTTTGAATGACTGGAGGTATGTCATGTACTTCCTTGATGACTGCCATTCCTGAAAGTCAGGATGTTCAATAGTTGCCTCAGTTATCTAGTGCTCCTATCATAGAAATACCATAAGTTCATGGCTTTAACAAACAAATTAATTTTCTTACAGTTTAGGAGGCTAGAAGTTCAAGTTCAGAGTGCCAGCTGTGGAAGTCTTTCTCTTTCACTTGGTACAAAAGGAAGGTCCTTGTTTTGTTAGCTTCTACTTTCTGGTTCCTTGGAGATCTACATGTATCTTGATATATTTTATTGCTTCTCTCCTCTCCTCCCTTGTTATCTCATATCTTAAAAGAAATTGACTCCAGATGTAACCTATGTTAATTCTCCTTCAACAAAGCAGGATTTTGTCCTCAACAAAGACAACTCATTTTCAAATGGGTAATAACCACAGACATTAGCAACAATATTTTGGGAGGACATAATCCAATCTAGAACATCTTGCACTTTAAAAGCCTTGCCAAAGAAATCTGCCTTGGGGTCAATTTTGACTCAAGAGACATTATCCCTACCCACTGCCATCAAGTTGATGCTGACTCCATGGAAAGTTTTGTAAATCCACATGGGAGAAAACACACAAGGTTGTGTAAATCTCTATGGGAGAAGGCATACTTACCTTTCTCCTGTTGGTGGGTTAGAACTGCCAAACTTGTAGTTAGCAGTGCATTGCTTACTCAACAGTGCCACCGGGCTCTTTAGAGTTCCTATAGGAAAGAGTGAAACTACTCCCTGCAGTATCCAAGGTTATAACTGTGACGTCTGCCTTTACAGGAGTAGAACTGCACCTTTTTTCCCTTTGCAGTGGTGGCTGAGTTCAAACAGTCGACCTTAGCACAATGTATAACCAACTACATCACTTCGTAGCCTTATCTACCCTTACTCACCAAGTGTCTCCCCCCTATAATTTTTCCCTCGGCCACATAGAAAACACAGTCAACCCATCACAACGTTCCAAAAGTCTTAGTCTACTCCATGTCCCCAAAATCTAATATTTCAAAACATCTGAATACAATGAGTATGGGTTTGATTGCAGGTGTACTCTATCTGGGCCATAATTCTTCTTCATTTGTTAATTTGTGAAATACAGTATACAAGTTTTCTGCTTCCAAAGTGCAATGGTGGAGCAGGCCAGGTACAAAGTAAATATTTTCACTATAAAAGGGAAATATTCCAAGAAGGGGTAAGGCACCAAGCAAGTCCAGAGCCCAGTAGAACAGTATGTATTAGGTCTTGAGGCTGTGTTACCATCCAATTTCTCTGAGACCGTCTGGCCAGTAACCCTACATTTCAGACTGAGTATTGGCCATGACCTCTCGATTCTAGGTTGAGGCCTGAAGAAATAATGTAGTGGACATATCTTTTGGCTACACAAAGTAGAGGGAGAGGCCCACTCTCTTCTGCCCAAAGATGAATCTTAAGGGAAAGAGTTCACACGTTTCTTCCCTTCAACTTTTTTCTTTTTATCCTATTCTGACACCAACTCTCCCTCCTTGTATAGTACTCTACTTGGATAATTTGTTGCAATGGCCACACACAACTGCAGGCTTTGAAATGTTGCGGATACATTTTCTTTTGTCCACAGCGCCCTTTCTCAGGCACATCCCTCTGCTCCTCATCGTTCCTTAGCCTCTGCTTTAACAGACTGATTTTCTCACAGTTTAGGAGGCTAGTCCAAAATCAGAGCACCAGTTCTGGAGTCTTATTTTTGTCTTAACAGCTTCTGCATCCTGGTTCTTCTCCATGTGTCTTGGCATCTGCTTTACCCTATGTTTTCCCTATTCTCTTGTGTAATAACTTTCATATCTCAAAAGAGATTGACGCAAGATATACTTGCCTCATCATACAAAGATAGTCCATGCCTCAATGGGACTATAACTACAGAATAAAGGTTAGGATTTATAACACATTTTAGAGTGGACAATTCAATCCATAAGTGTAATTCTATTGAAATTTGTGTACCCATTTTAGAAATGGATGTTTATACAACAATAATACTGCCTTATGCTACACTAGTTAACTCTGGTTTAAGTTAACCTTGTATCATTTAATATATTGTTTAATAACTTAGTTTCATTAGATTTGTATCACTGTCAGTGAGAAAGTAATTAGAAATCCTAAAATTGTAGGATATCCTTGGTCTCAAATCTAACATACATATTTTCATGTAAGTACAATAAAGAACTTACAAAAAAATGATGTATCAAGATGTTGTTACTGTTGTTAGCTACTGTCCAATGGGTCCTTTACTTCAGAAAACCCCATGTGACGATAGGATTGGTCCCTTGTGATCCACGTATAAGACGCATACAACTTTATTGAAGAGATAGGCCCTTGGGTTGCATTTTATGTAATTTGCCACCATTGTAGTAAGTTTGTCCTTTTGTTTTCAGGGTCGAATTACAAAAGTATTGAATATGAAACCTCCAGAGGTAAGAATACTGTTTATTAGTAGTAAATATATTCATTCTAAATGCCATTTTCTTCTTCCAGACAATTTTTTTATCATTTTCATTATTAAATTCTGGACACATTGTTTAAGAATTATTTGTAAAGGAGATTTTTTTTTTATATTTGTCACTGTCCCATTTATTAAGACAAAGCTTGACTGTATAAAGCATACTTTCTGAATCAGTATTGCATGAGAATGAAATGCTATAGAAAAAGATTTAAATACTGTGTTCACATGTCATCAATGATTGAACATACAAAGACTATTTGAGATGCATCCTACATTCACTACCATCAAGTTTATTCTGGCTATAATGACTCAATAGGACATGATAGAAACTGCCCTTATGGATTTTCAAGCCTAAATTTTTATGCAAGCAGAAAACCGTGTCTTTCTCCTTTGAGAAAATAATTGGCTAGTTGGTACATGCCAAAATAAAAAGTAACAGCAGAAACCATTAATAATTAGAACATAGTGTACAAAGTATGGGTATAAGAAAATTGAAAATGACAAAAAATGAAAGGAAAAACAAAGATTAATATCCTAGGAATAGCAAGTTGAAATGGAATATTTATCATTTTGTATCATGGTTTGCTATGCCAGGAAAGAAAAATTCAAGAGCATTGGTGTCCGCCATTAAGTAGAAGAGTTCAAGATCTATATTGAAGTACAATGATGTCTGTGATAGGGTAATGTCCATATTATCCATGTAAAATGGGAACTTTGTAAGGAAGGAAAACTCAAATATTTTGCACTAAAAAGAAAAGTACTGAAACGATCTCATCAGGGGCATAGAACTTCTCGGACATGAATTAATAATGCAATCCCATTGAGTTTGGCAATCATGGATCTCACTAAAATACTGTAGATACTCATCAGCTGAGACACCTAATTTTACCACAAACCCTGCATTAAAAACTCAGCTTATACACAAGTATATACAGTAGGTGCTTTTCCACAGGTATTATTTTTGTTTAATTTGTAACAACTTTAAGAGAAACTGTCAGTTCTCCCATCAGAAATGAAGCACAAAGAAGATTGGTTTGTTTGCGGAGTTTCTCAAGGGATCGCAGCTCTCTGCCATGTTTCATCCCTGCTGGATTAAAACAGCTGAAATCTAGCTGGATGAATTTCAAGTAGACCCTGACGGGTGTCCAGTCTTTTTATATTTGTAATCGAAGGAAAAAAGAGAACTGGCTTCAATTTTTCAAAGAGAAATGCTTTGGAAACTAGCGGAAAGTGTGCTTGTAGAATTTGGGTGATAATCTAGAACTATTTCTTGAGTATATGTGTTATAGATAACTATGTGAATTTTCGTTTGACTCTATTGAGTCATTTGGACCATTGTTTTGGCAAGATGCTTAGTAATGTCCTGGCTCTAAATCAGGGGTCCTCGAACTTTTTAAACAGGGGACCAGTTCACTGTCCCTCAGACTGTTGGAGGGCTGAGCTGTAGTTGAAAAAAAACTATGAACAAATTCCTATGCACACTGGACGAGTTGGCTGCTAAGTAGGACAGGCAGCGTCAGCAAAAACACCTGGCGGGCCGGATAAATGTCCTCAGTGGGCCGCATGTAGCCTGCAGGCCGTAGTTTGAGGACCCCTGCTGTAAATGATGCACTTATGATTAATTCAGACAAGAACGATTGGCTAAGTCATCTTAATTATTTACCCACTGTCATTGCAGATTCTATCTATGATAGAAGAAGCAGCTGGAACCAGAATGTATGAATACAAAAAGATAGCTGCCCAGAAGACTATAGAAAAGAAAGAGGCTAAGCTGAAAGAAATTAAGACGGTAATTAAATTTATGCGAAACATTTTTGAAGAGGAGTACAGTTTCCCTGTAGATATGTTGTGCTGCGATGAGGGAAAGCTGGTATTTTCCTCTCCTGTTTGCTTTTCTATAACCGACCATGGTACTTTTTTCTTTTGGTGGTGCTTTACAAATACTGATTTTCCTTTATTTTTCAGATACTTGAAGAAGAGATTACTCCAACCATTCAAAAATTAAAAGAGGTATAATATGTCCAAAGATAGTTAATAAAATGTCTCTTAAATTGGTAAAGTATCCAACATCATGCGTAAGAATGAAGAATACACTAGTTTAGGGGAATTTATTTCTGTGATGAGGTGAAGTTGAGTTGCTGTTACGTACCTTACCCTTTTGTTTACGTGTGCTTTATACCTATTATGATGTAATGGTTTTGATTGTGCTCTGCATCATGTCAAATTTTAATAGTTTGGTAAAGAGAATCAAGTTTAGATGGTCCTGGACATTTAGAATTCATTGGAATAACATTTCTTAAGGATGTGGCACTCTGCAAAATGCTAGTCAGGTATAACTGCTGGTATAAGTACTATCACATATTTGCTGCTGTTCAGGCATTTTATGAGGGAAAGGGATTGAAATAAAGGCCTGCTTGTTCTCTTGCCATTTTGCAGCTACTGTACATCATAAAACTTGTCAGGATTTCTTTAGTGTTTGTTACATAGGGAAGGAATTCATTTGTAGCACATTGTGTTTTAAGACGTGTTAATTAAATGCTCAGTGAAATTCATACTGCTGAAAAATGTTTCCATAATTCAAATAATAAAGTTGATGTTTTCGGGAATACAAAAATTGAGATCTTGAAGGTACAATATATGCACGGCTTAGTTAAGAAAAAAAGAAAACTACATCAAGAGTTTAAACCTTGGTCTCAGACCAAATTTTTTGTCCCTTTAAACCATTTTTTCTAAATCTGACATCTTCATCTGTAAATTGGTAATTTTCATTGTTAATGTGCCACAGTGTGTCCTTTTTGGAATGAAATGTAATATTTTGTGGAGTGCCTGTATTCATGAGTCAATGTTGAGTAGACAACTTGATAATACTACTACAAATTATACTTAATAGCATGGTACTGTTGGAAGTATTGATTGACTGTATAGGTATGGTACTATCAGAGAAATAGTCTATGAACTGTATATTCACATTTATTTGTAAATTTTAAATGCTGATTGTGTATTACAAGAAATAGCCACATAAAATTCACTACAACCTGTTGCTGTTGAGTCTGTTTAAAAGCAAACTCTTCATGCTCATGGCAAGTCGATTCCAACTCAGACATCCTAGGGGACAGAGTAGAACTGACCCTTTAGGTTTCTGAGACTTTAAATATTTAGGGGAGCAGACAGCCTCATCTTTTTCCTTCAGAGGGGCTGGTGGGTTCAAACTTCTAACCTTGTGGATAGCAAACAGTTCAGTGCATAGCCCACTGTGTCTCCAGGGCTCCTTTTCAGCTCATGGTGACCCTATATGATCTTCATGAAAGCAGTTATGAGTCTTCCACAGAGCTGCTGGATTGGTTTGAACAGCTAACCTTTAGGTTGACAGCCAATTGCCAACTGCTCACTTGAGATGGTATATATATCTATATCTATATCTATCTATCTATATATATATATAAAGAGTTCTCCTGATGTTCTTTACAAGTTCTTAGAATTTTATCATTATGAGATTATTTAATCTTAGATATAATAGGTTACGTCATGGGATAGAAATTTGGTCTGATTCTGTTCAAACGTGTTTTAAAATAGGAAGTGTTGAAGAATCCTTATTGGTGACTTCTCTTCTAGGAAAGATCATCCTACTTGGAGTACCAAAAAGTCATGAGAGAAATAGAACACCTGAGTCGTTTATATATTGCGTATCAGTTTTTGCTGGCTGAAGATACCAAAGACCGCTCAGCTGAGGAGTTAAAAGAAATGCAAGATAAAGTTGTGAAACTTCAAGAAGAATTGTCTGAGAATGATAAAAGAATAAAAGGGCTTACTTATGAAATAGAAGAGTTAGAAAAAAGAAAAGATAAGGTAGGAATATAACATATAAGGTAGAATATCCTTCTGTGAGAAAGAAACTTTAAACTGTTTAACATATTGTAACTCTTCAGGATTTACTCAGTGTTCTCGTCCTTATTGACTCCTTGGCCTTAAAATACGAGAACAAAAGATGGCGTTTAAATGATGTTAACTATCCCACACAAAATCACATGAGAAAATATCAACAGCTCTTAAGAGATTGAATTGGATGCATTTGATTACAGGAAATTGGAGGCATACTCCGCTCTTTAGAAGATACTCTTGCAGAGGCTCAGCGAGTAAATACTAAATCTCAAAGTGCTTTTGATCTCAAAAATAAAAATCTGGAAAGTGAAGTAAACAAACGCAAGGAACTGGAAAAAAATATGATGGAGGTAAGCAACGAAGCAGTTTCCTGCTCACTAGTGGGCATTTCTCCATTCAGTGAATATTTATTGAACATCTAATGTGGGCCAAGCAATGAACAACACAGCAATTGAAGGAAGTAGATGAAGTATGTGGAAATATGATAATAAAAAAACAAGCTACTAAATTATATAGCATGTAGGGGATTCTTCAGAAAGTTCATAGGAAAATAATTGTCTTTAAATTTTCCATGAACTTTTTGAGGCCTACCTCTTAAAGTATTAGCTTCTGGAGAAAAACATTAAGTAGATGAGGGGAAGAGGATGGGCAGAGAATATAGTTTTAAACTGGATAGCCTTCTCTGGCCTCTCACTGCGAGGCTGGTCCCTAGACTATCACATAAGACTACCTTATCGATCACCTTGCTTTCACTCTTGCACAGGTGTAATCTGATTTCTGTATATAATCTGAAATATAAATTGGATATTGCCATTTCTGCCCTTAAAATTAGTCTATGGTCTCAAAGATACATTATACATCCAAGGTCTTTCCCATGACCTAAAAGGCCATACATGATATGATCTGTTGCCTGGTTCTTCATCACCACATACTCACTGCTTCTGCCAGTTACTGAAACATCCAAGTATGTTCTTTAGTTTCTGCCCAATGCCTGTCCTCCCAGTAGGTTTACTCCCTAACTTCGTTTGGGCATCTGCTCAAATTCATTGTCTCCCATTACCATTCTCATAAAAATAATTATCCCTTTAACTTTATGTACTCTCTTTCACCAGAGTATATAGGCTACCCAAAGACAGTGTCTTAGTCTTTATCTTTAATGTTTAGAACAGTGCTAATGTTTAGAACCCCATAATAACTTCATGAACTAATCAAGGGCCAAAAGGTTTTGCCATGCTCATGGAAGCAGCTAGATTATTTGTTCACTGTGCTGGTAGCCTTCATTCTGTCTGATATCTGGCTGTTATTACTTAAAAGATACTAAGTGTTGCTGCTTTTAGCACAATTATTTAATAATTAATTTTACTGCCTTTAATAGTTAACTCTTCATGTACATTTTCCTAATCCTAAGTGCCTACTTTTAAGATAAATTAGGATGGTTATTTGTTCAATTTTCTAAGTTTATAGACTGATATTTAGTTGTTTGATTAACTCTACTACCACCTTTTTTTTAACTCATTCTCACCCAGATTCAACTATAGTTTATGAAGTGAAACAATTTCTAATGGGATAAATAGCATATTTGTCCCCCCAAAATCAGTTGAAGTTCAAAATGGGAATTCTGTATTTAATGATATGAGAATCAAATAATGATTTTTTCTTATCATGTTCAACTTCGAATTGCTATGAAATTTGATGACCCAAAGGTGTGTGTGTGTGTGTGTGTGTGTGTGTGTGTGTGTGTACATATATATAATGGATGATTGTCTTAACAAATAATACTTTCCTGCTTAAAACCCTCCCTAAAGGACTCTAAAACATTAGGAGCAAAAGAAAAAGAGGTTAAAAAGATGTCAGATGGACTGAGCGCCCTTCGAGAGGCGAGTAGTAAGGACGCTGAAGCCCTGGCTGCTGCCCAGCAGCACTTCAATGCCGTTTCTGCTGGTCTGTCCAGTAATGAAGATGGAGCTGAAGCGACTCTTGCTGGTCAAATGATGGCCTGTAAAAATGATATAAGTAAAGCTCAGACAGAAGCCAAACAGGTAAAGATAGACTTTAAGCTCTATGTTATTGTATTTGTTTTTAAAGCTACTTCACATCGTTTGTTCATAGTTGTTTTATGCCAGAGTTGAAAATAATCAGTTTAAAGTCAAGGAGTTTTCTTGATGTGTTGATCTTAATAGAACCTAAAATAGCAAATTTCAAATATTTCAATTGCTGAGTTTTGATGATAGTTTACCAAGTGGCTGTAAAACCTAAAATACCCTCATGGGTGAATTTTTAAATGCAATAGATATTTTGTTGGATTTGAACTATTTTTTGGAAAATAGAAGCTTAGTCAATATGGTCATTTTTTGGCTGTCTTTATTTGCTTTTATTGAAACCATAAAGTTGAAGACTTAAACTCTAGCAGGAAAGGGAAACATTGTCTCTTTTTATGCCTACCATACCTAGTTCTTAATATGGTACTTTTGTAACTTTGTAATTTTTCTAGAAAGAGTTCCCCCTTCCTCTTTTGTCCAAGTTTCATTTCTGTGTGTTAGTGTCTGATCTGTTTTGTCTGATCCACTGCCATGAAGTCAGTTTTGACTCCTAGCACCTAGGCTTTCCAAGACTCTCAGTGTTTCTGAGAGCAGACACTTTTGCCTCATCTTTCGCCTGCAGAGAGGCCGGTGGAATTGAACTGCCAACCTTCTGGTTAGCTCCCCAACACTTAACCCACCTAATATTTAAATATTTGTCAATATAGCTTATTTATTCTATATAAATATTTCTCATTGCTCACCACACTTTGTCCATCTTTGTTCGGTAGCATTGACAAGTACGGAGAAGTACACATGTCCTTTGATTTTTTTTATGTGGACAGTTGAGTCTGGAACTCTTTGAAGGTGTTAAACTCTGAGGGTGCTCAATCCCTTGTATAAAATGGAGTATGTATATAAAACTTCGATACATTCTCTGGGTACATCCTCTCTATTGCCTTCAATCATCTCTAGATTACTTATAATATTTAATACAATGTTAATGCTATACCAGTTTCACTTTACACTGCCTCTCAAATCTTTGAGGGATTACTTTGATCACTTACATTGCTTTTCCACACACCTCCCCCCTGACCACATCCCCAAATATTTTCAATCCATGGCTGTAGGTGCATAGGTGGTATACATGTGGAAAAGGAAACGGACTTGTGGTTTCCAGCATCCTTTTGTATGTTTATTTTTGTCAGCTTATAGCAGCTTATATTTCTCTGATATAATCTTTGAATTGTATTAATAAGAGATATTTTTGAAGTCATAGAAATAAGGACTTTGGTGCACATCTTTAATGTTTTACTAGGAATCTATGTTAGTTCATATTCTTATTAGTTTTTTGAGAAGGACATCTTGGGAAATGATTTATCTGTTGAAATACTAGTCTAAGAGATTCAAGGCTAATGTCTCTCAAGTAAATCAACTTGAATTTGGCCATTTAATCACTTGTACCATCTGCTTCATATAGTTTGCTGTTTTTTCCATCACAGGCTCAGATGAAGTTGAAACATGCCCAGCAAGAATTAATGGCTAAACAGACTGAAGTTAAGAAGATGGATAGTGGCTACAGGAAAGATCAAGAAGCATTAGAGGCTGTGAAGAAACTTAAAGAAAAACTGGAAGCAGAAATGAAAAAGCTAAATTATGAAGGTTTGCCATTAAAGATACTTAAATCATTAGAGAGTGATAATTCTTGATTGAAGTAAACTTAAAGAAGTAGGGGAAGAATAACTCTGGCTAGTCCTAAAATTTGTTTTACATTAGTGTAGCCTTTTGGATTTTTGAGGTCTCTGCATTGAGAATTTCCTGCTTTAATCATTGTGAAGTGTTACTTGAAAACTCAGGATGCCATTTGTTTTTATGTTTTTAGCAATTTGTGTATTATTTCTTCAACTGTAAATTGTGATATTTGTTGGAAATAATCTACTAAGGAAATGATAGGCACTTGAATATTAAACATTTTTACGTAACATCAGAAATGTATAGTTTCTTCTAGAAATGCCTTAAAAATAATTCTTATTTTTCTTAAATCAGATATGCATGTCTTTCTTAAAGTCTTTGCGTGTCCAAGACTTTGTTTCAATTTCCTTTTTATTTATTGCCTAGAAAACAGGGAAGAAAACCTTTTGGAAAAGCGTAGACAGCTGTCTCGTGATATCAGTAGATTGAAAGAAACATATGAAGCTCTCTTGGCCAGATTTCCCAATCTTCGTTTTGCATACAGGTAAAAGATTTTTAATTTTTCCCAAAAATAATACTGTGTTTTCAATGAAGGTTTATACAGGAGTGTAGGTTTCCATTTAACAGTTTCTACACAAGTTGTTCAGTGGCATACGTTACATCTTTATGATGTGAATAGTCTCATTTCTGTGCAAGTTATTTGGCTAACAAATTGAAATACTGAATTTTAAAATTAATATTAAGTAAACATTTAATATGAATAACCTAAGCATTTTTTTTGTACTTGGGGTTTCAGGTTAACTGCATATAAAAGTTAATATGTATAACTGCATATAAACAGTTAATGCAGTAATGCAGTTGGTTATTGACTGGAAGTTTTAAGTCTATTTCTAAAAAAAAACTCCAAAAATAGTCCATTGAAAAATCCTGTGGAGCATAACTCTACTTTTTCTACTTTGACAGATATGGTGGAGTCAGATTCAACTTGATGTAAAATGATCGTTTTTTGTGTGTGTTTTTTTTTAATTTATTTAAGCTAGAAAACAACTTGAAAGTTTTGATAATACAAAATTTTGTATGAGAAGTTTTCTGAATTGGCACCTTAAACATCTAACCATATCAAAAATGTGGGAGGAGAAACTGTTACATCTAATGGATATCAATGTGGGGAATTTAATGTCAGTTCAAATTCTTTACATTTATTATAGTTAATATTAAACATCCATACTGACATTTTACAGTTTACTCCACTGTGTTTTAATAGAACAATGAGAATAACTATATATTATAAAAATTAGGGTGCCCGGCTATCAAAAGGTATAACGTCTAGGGTCTTAAAGGCTTGAAGGTAAACAAGCGGCCACCTAGCTCAGAAGCAACAAAGCCCACATGGAAGAAGCATACCAGCCTGTGCGATCACGAGGTGTCGAAGGGATCAGTTATAAGGCATCATCAGAACAAAAA